AGTGTGTGTGTGTGTGTGTGTGTGTGTGTGTGTGTGTCTAGTAGAATTTCATGAAAAATACTTCCTGTAACTTCTGTTTGTTTACACGATATGTCATTCCTTTACGATGGCATCACACGTTTTGAAAACATAAATGTCTCCCACTACACATTTTAAAAATAGTTTTGTATTTTTGTTTGTTTGTTTATTTGTTTGTTTGTTTGTCTTTAGTATCTCAAAAAGAGGAGTGAACCATCTTGTTGTATACAATCTTTGACTTGTAATGTATCACCAGGAAATTGTGTTGCTGTCTTGACTAATGAATGTTTCTGTGCTGTGCTGCAGACTTGCTGCGAACGAAGAGTGAGTTCGTGCAAAAAGTTTTGTAAACGATACATAGAAACTAGCAAGGAAACAACTAAAAAAAAATCAAATAAAGCCAAGGCTACTCACTCGCTCGTGTTGTCGGGGGGTGGAAGGTCACCAATAGTCGTTAAAGTCAAGGTCGACCAGAAGAGCGAGCGCAAGTACTTCCGGTTCACGTCAGCAAACTCCCCCACCGGTTTGGGATACGCCCACTCCCCAGTGAATCCTTCCGCCTCGCTGATCATGTAATAAAACGCGGCGAACCAATGTGCACCCAGAAACAATATGTGCGTCAAATTAACCACCCGAATAAGATTCGGATAAGCGGTTCGAGACTCGAGCATGTGCACGAACCGGAACGTCCGGTAGATCTTCAAGAACCGCGGGAATCGGATCATCGGGTGCATTCCGATGTGAAATTGCAGGAAATCCAATGGTGTGAGGCAGATAAAGTCGATGTAGATAACTCGGGAGCTCGTGTAGCGCTGTCTCAGTTTCTCCGAATCATACACCATGAGGCCTTGGTCCAGGTACCCAGTGCGGAACCGGACGATGATGTCGCAGATGTAGATGAGATCGAATAGGGCATCGAAGGAGAACCAGCAGGCAGGGCAGCTCTGCTGTATCTCTGTGAACGCCTGGCGGGCGATACAAGTCCACAAGTTGTACATGACCTGGCAGGGAAAACAATCATGATAGTAACGATAATAATAATAAATAATGATAATAATAATAATAATAATAATAATAATAATAATAATGATGATGATGATGATGATGATGATGATGATGATGATGATGATGATGATGATGATGATAATGATGATGATAACATTGATGATGTGGTGGTGGTGATGATGATGCTGCTGGTGGTGGTGGTAGTGTTAATAATACATGTAATAAGAAAACGATCAGGAAAATCTAATAGTTTGTTTATTGCGTGTCTTTCATGTCATTATTCCTTATTAAGCATCTAAGAGATAAGCATAAATCCCCTTCCTCCCTCTACA